GCGGGGGAAGACGAAGGCGGGTGACGACGTGGACGGGGTCAAACTTGGCGACGAGCCGGAAGAAGAAAAAAGGGTTTGTTTCGCTTCAAAGTTCGATTTTGATGTTTTATGCAGATTAAATGGAGGATTTTTTTTTGAATTATTTAGCCAATTTGGTGTTGGGGCTGGAAGTTGGGGTCAGTTCTTTTTTTTTTTTGGCTGAATTTTCACGATTCCTATGAATCGATTTTATCCTTAATTTGCTCATAGTAGAAACACACGAGTCATGGTCCAAAGATGGAAGTTTTGGCTGAAGCTATGCTGCAGAGCCAGTTATTATGGGAAAATTTTTCTCAAAAGCGAGGAAGCTTTTGCTTTCATCAGTAGAAACTAGAGTCTTGTTGCTTGCCTATGATACATCTTTTAGTTAATTTATCTCAAATTTGTTAAATTAAATGCTTCCTCTGCGCATGCTTATTCGTTTCACTTGAATTTTATTTTTATTTTTTTTTGTTTTTGATGTGGCTATGATTTTGTACCGTATATTCATGCAGTATTAGAGAGCATCATTTGTGAGAAGCAGCCTATGGCGAGAATAAAACCGCAAGCACTGCTAATGCAGAGCAAAAAGAAGAAGGCCCCGGCACGAATCAGTCTGACTGCCATCATTGCATGCAACCTTACAGTTTTCTTGGCTGTGTTTTCCTTGTATGCGACCTATAAATATTGGTACCGAAGGTTAGCGTCTTCTTGGATTCCTAGCGAAAATTTCCTTCTTATCCTATTGATTTTTTGTAGTGATACTTGTTAATTATTTTGGTTATCGTGAAGTCACCATTGTTTGAAACATCACTTTCTCTCAGAGACTAAGATCATAATAAACTTACCTTTCAGGCCAAGTGATAAAACTGAATTTTACCCAAATACCTTCGAGGTATGTATGGTTTTCAGCTTGAACATTACTTCATTTCATTTTCACTGAATTTTACCCAAATACCTTCGAGGTATGTATGGTTTTCAGCTTGAACATTACTTCATTTCATTTTCTTGTTTCACTTTCCTGCATTCTTTTTTTTTTGTATGGTTTTCAGCTTGAACATTACTTCATTTCATTTTCTTGTTTCACTTTCCTGCATTCTTTTTTTTTCTTTTTCTTTGCTGCAGGACACTGAGGCCCTTGGAGAATTGAAGGATCTTCCTAGTTATGCTGTAAGTAATTCTCCCATGTAATAGTGAGTTGCTGTTGCGGTAATTTCTGTTCTAATGACAACAGTAGACACTTGAATGATGAGTCTTACCCATATCCGGTGACAACAGTAGATGCTTGAATGATGACCTTACCCATATCCTGATGTATCGGATGCATGTATGATACACCTCTTTGTTGTTTATGATTTGTACTTTATCAAAACTCAAGAGCTTGATGTAAGTATATACTTTTTTTTTGATATAAACATACTTATTGTGAAATCTGAATATTATATTATGGTGTTATTTATCTGCATTGTTGCTTTATGTAACGTCGACCTTTCCTAGTCGTGCTGCAGTGGGTGGTATAAGGAGAAACTGACATTCTTCTTCATACTTTAAGCAGTTATGGAGGACCAGTCTTGTTCATTTTAAGGTTTAAATCATTGATCTATTTGATATAGTCTAATAAAGACAGGATGTGTATGCAGCCTTTAATGTCATTTTCATTGCTTTGTTATATCTTGTTCTTTTAGTTGACCTACCAACCTCTGGGCAAATACAAGTGTACAAGTTTGTATTTAGCCACACCTTTAATATGTCATGGAGTCTGAGGCTGTAGCTGCTAGTTTGTCCGTAAAAGGACTCCCATCACATCAAACATTTTTTCACTGTGTATCTATCTGAATATATGATAGGTTTGTCTGATATATAGTTTAAGGAAGACAAGACATGTGTAAACAATCAATGCCTTGATGTCCTTTTAATTTTCTTATTGTCAAGTGCCCTTTAGTTGGTTTGCCAATTCTTAGCAAATACAACAATGTATTTAGCCAAGATGCAGGAAATACACAATTTTGTCTTTCATAGGGCCAGTGGCCTTGGTAAATTTGTTAGTAAGAACTTCATCACAGCAGACTTTTTTTTTTTACTGTGTACGTATTTGAACATACTATAGGTAATAGGTAATTTTCTTTTCATTCTTTATTAGTTTTAATTGTTGGAATTTTGTAATAGATCTTGAACACTGCAAAAGGTTCAGTAACGGCAGAACTGTATAAGGATTCTTCTCCTGAAGTTGTGGATAAGTTTCTTGATTTGTGGTGAGAATTTATTTTAACTTATTCTCATGGAATGTATTCTGTAAGCATTGAATTTATTTAAATGTTTTCTTCTGAAAGAAAGCTTTTGGACTTCTCCTAGGTTAATAAAGATCTTAGAAGATGAATGAAGATAGCAAATTTTCTATAAGGAATTAAATTCATCTTTGGGCCTTAATATAAGCAAAAATAACTGAACAACTTATATTCACCGGAACGTGTCTTGCTTAAGTGGGAGTGTTCACTTCTCTTCATTTCTTTCATGTCCACTTCATTCATTATTATTCTGCTGGATGTTTCATTTGACAGTCAAAAAGGACATTTCAAGGGAATGCCTTTCCATCGAGTAATCAAACACTATGTAATTCAAGGAGGTGATTTCCCTGAACTTGGGGCTGCAGAGGATTGGACACTGAAAGGAAAATCCCATAGTGAACTTGCTAAGAGGTTTAATATTTGTACTTGTATTGTCAGTTTCATATTTTAAAGTATTCTATATTTTTTCATAATGGAAGTTAGAACTATGTTACTGTACATATATTCCTGCCAGTTACGCTCTTCAGTATGCATTAACTGTCTTGTCTGATGTCAGCTCAAAGCATGAGGCTTTTATGCTTGGAACTACAAAGGCAAAATCAGAGAATAAAGGTTTTGAGCTCTTTATCACAACTGCTCCAATTCCAGACTTAAATGACAAAATTGTTGTGTTTGGAAGAGTTATCAAGGGGGAGGATGTCGTCCAGGTAATCAACTGATTGCATTTGTATCCCTATCTAGTCACATGTCAAAAACTAATATAAATTTATATTTATATCGATCAATGTGCTTTCTGATTCTTTTCAGTTTATTAATCTAGTGAGTTCCATCTTCTTGTCCTTTAGGTATCTGTAGCAACTGCAATGACTTGTATAGTTTTGAAGATCAATATGATTTTTATCCACATACACAGGGCACCTCTTTGGAGCTCCTAGTTGCCCGCATGCTCACACATGTTTGAACTTCTTTTTGTGATTTAGATTGTCAAAAATGAAGAAGGTAGGAGAGTTTTAAGAAAAAAGTAAAGAGAAAAGGAAGGAAATAATACAAAAGGAGGAAAAGGCCTTGGAGAAGACGGGGAGTAAGTTTGAAATGCCCTCTTCATTGATTAATTATTGCAGATCACCTAATAGAAAAATATAAATTAGTTTTTTACATAGTTAAAGGTCACTATGGCTGGTCACATAGGATGTGGATTAATTTCTGTTGGCTTCACTCAGAAGCCAGATGTATGAAGTTTAGCCTCGCTAGAAGGAACAAGGTACATCGTCACTCTTGAGCTTTCTATAGAGTAGTTTAATCTATCTCCATCTTGAACCATAACCTAGACTGACATGTTTGATATGCCAAGGCAAACAGGGTACATAGATTCTGGGGATAGTATTATTGCACCCATGATCACTATTAATCGTGAATCTATTATCTACAAGGGAAACCTCATTGAGTCTTCTTCCTTAATCTTGTGCACATGATCGTGTAATTTTTCATGAGAAGGATATGAAAAATCTTAGAGCCTTAATCTTGTGCATAATTATGATTTTTCTTTACAGTATTAACTTCGTGTTATTTTTATTGACATAATGTAATTCCTATTCAGGAAATTGAAGAAGTTGATACAGATGAGCACTACCGGCCAAAGTCCCCCATAGGGATCATTGATATCATACTGAAGCATGAGCCATGAGCTATGTGAACAATTACCATCTACTTTCGGATTACTCACTGCTTGATTCAAGAGTTACCAGGCAGCTCAAATTTTGTCTTCATGTGAAAATGTCCTAGCAATAATTGAGTTCCTAAATTTGATGAATGTTGGTTATTGATGAGATAGTCAGATGTATTGTTCTATAATACAACTAGTTCACAAAGGGATATAACCCAATGCTTTCCTTTTTAGATTATACGCTTAGGTTTAACATATGCCCCTGGGTTTTATATGGATGAGAATGAGATATGGTGGGAAAAGTAATTGAAAACATGTGCATGTGTCTCAGCTGTATTTTCCCGTGATTGTAAAGATCTTATCAGCATAGATTCAGCATTTTTCATCTTATGCTTTGCCTCTTATTGAATGGCATGTGTGAATCATGATATCTGGGAAAAGAAACCGATATCCTCTTTTGGCATCAACAGGTATTGTAGAATTCCCACGGAATGAAATCGAAATATGTGCGTAAATGTAAAAGCGACCAGAGAGTTACAACATTATCTTTCAGCCCAGGTAAAGATTAAATCATGTGACACTGCAATAGACCTATGCTTCTGGACTTCAGAATTGGCAGGATAAAACGCCTCCAAGCAACCTCAAGTTGGGGAGCACACGCAAAAGTGTCAAAGCTAAGGGGCGCTGGTCCTGACGGCTTCGCTTCTTTTCTCCTGAGCTTTTGCTGGGGGATCCAACATCTATAGATATAATGTAACTCGTCGAACACCTGCTGCAGTCAACATGATACTTGCTATTTTCGACGAAAGAGTAATTCCGACCCCTGCAACTTGGACAGGCCAAGAATTCCGGAATCCAAGATTCCTACATCGGTATCCAACTACGATCCATCACGATCGAAGATTGATTATTACAGCTGGTGCATCTGGATGGAAGAGAGCGGTACGGTCCTGAACCAATACGTTTACCGCAACTGCACCCAATATCAGCAGTAGCCCAATTGTTTTTTGTAGACTTTCTGACCGGAGTCCAATTCCAGCAGTTACTGCAACGACGATACAAATACCAGTACTATTGAAATATTATAGAAAACTTCATCTATATTAGGGTCGTGCTACAAGTATTTTTCAACTCATGTTCTGGCTCATAGCATACTTGGATTGAAAGATTGAATAGCAGCAGAAAAAAAAAACGATACCTTTTCTCGGCATCGACAGGTATCAGCAGAACATTCCCAGGGAATAAAATTGAAACTAGTGGTAAAAATTAAAACTACCAGAGAGTTGCATTATCCTTCGAATCAAGCAAAAACATGGAATCGTGAAAATGAAATAGACCTGTACCTCTGGGCTCCTAACATACTTTGGCTGGGGGAAGAAAACAATCGATAACCTAATGTAAACTAGTCCAATTTATCAAGAACTAATGCTGATCCCAACGACTTCGCTTCCTCTTTCCTCCCGAGCTCTTGCTGGATGATCCGACATCCACACCTATGACAGAACTCGCTCCGCACTTGCTGCAATCGACGTGATACTTGCTGTTCTCCACGAAATAGATGTTCCAACCCCCGCAACGAGGACAAGCCAAGAATTCTGGAGTCCAAGGTTTCTGCGTCGGCATCCAACTAAGATCAATCGCCAAACAAGAGTGATTATTACAACCTGTGCATCTGGAGAAAAGAGATTTGTACGGCCCCAAGCCAATGCCTCCGCCGCAACTGCAGCCAATGTCACCGGTGCCATAACCATAATTTGTGGTAGGCTCTTTCACCGGGCTCCAAGTACCGCAATTCTTGCACCGGTGAAGCAAACACTGCCTGCACGAGCTCAGCTTGAATTCCCAAGCGTGGGTCCTCCGACAGCGACCGCATGTTCTCAGAGCTTTGAAATTGCCGGGAATGACAGAGAAATTAGCCTCTGTTGAAGGCGTCCGGGTGGTCGACAACACGGACCAAGCCTGCAGTATGATTTTGGTGGCACCCTCGGCAGCGGCTGATCTGTTCTTGTCAGGGTGGGTCAGCATGCAGAGTTTCTTGTACTGTTTCTTGATGGTTTCGTGATCGGCGTCGGGGCTGACACCGAGGATCGAGTGCCAGTCGTCGCTTTTCGTCGCGGCGAGAACGTGGATGCCGTAGGCCGTGATTGTTTGCGTGAGGTTTGGGAGAGATGGGTAAATGCTCTGCGCCTTGAGAGCAAACCTCTTGGCTCCTTGTAAGTCATTGGCTTTGAATTTTTCTTCGGCGAGTTTCAGAGCTTTTTCTGCCTCCTCTTTCCTGCACTCCATGTTTTGTTACTTTCAAGAAGACCGTCTCTTTGGGTTAATCGGTGAGTAAAATACAAATAAAATCAAGAAGCCCAGAGTTTGGTGTATATATTCTTCTTGGCTCAAACAAAATAGTAATTTTTATAAAGAGCCTTTAATCAAATATAATATATAAAGACCTGAATAGGGTGTGAATTCATATAGATCGAGTTAAAAGCTTTTATTTATATCCTGATACGCAACGGTTGGATTAAATTCAAAAGAGCTCTAGTTCACATTTACATCAATCAATGGATCAGCAAAACATCATATATAATTCGACAAAATATCATAAAAACTATGGATGCAACAAACTCACAAGAAAGTAACTAATATGTGAAGGTTTTGGTAGAAAGAGGAGTAGTACAAAAAAAAAAAATCTTGTATTCTTTCTTGTCCAATCTAATATCAATGCTGTTGTTTCAAAAGATGAAGGGGAAAAAGAAAAGAGAGAAAAAAAATTGTTGCATACCTCCTTCTCCAAAGAGAGATTGATAAAAAAAAATTTTAAGAGATATGAACTGAAATAAATATCTCACAATGTGGAGATGTTTGTAGATATTGGAGTCAGGATTAGACCGAGTCGTAGTAGTATTAGGATCTTTCATAAATAGAAGTTTTATCAAAAAAATTACTAGGCAGTTTCCTACTGATATTCTTGATTTCTTCATAAGGTAGTGTTGTTTGGTAAGATATTGTACTGACTTTTGATAACAAAAGTAATTATATCTTCAGTTAATAATCCATGTTAAATTAAAATTTTCTATAATTAGAAAATAATAATCAAAGCCCTCGTCTTTATATAAAGGTTTTTTTAAGATTAGAAAATTATCAACTGCCCCCTTCAAAATCAAAAAGATACAAGCAACCCCTTGAAAATTCAAAAATTACAAAGAACCTCGAGATCTACAAATTATAAACAACCTCCAGGAAAATCTAAAATTTCAAATAGGCCCATGAAAAAACAAAGATTTCAAAAAATCTCTAAGACTCAAAATTTACAAAGAGCACCACATAATTCAGAAACTCAAAAGCTGCCCTTGAACTAAAAATGCCAAAAAATTAAGGGTAATAGCTCATGAAATCGTGAATTTTGGTATCCTCAAAATTATTTGTCAACATGTCGAAAAATAAACTATGCCCAAATATTGTGGGTTAGAGCTCATGAGATCATAGACTTTGGCTTCTGAGAAATTATTTGCCAATAGAATGGCAAAAAAATATGGATTATAACTCATTAAATCATGAATTTTGGCCTCTAAGAAATTTTTTGCCTATATGTTAAAACCACTAAAAATGGTAAAATATGATGGGTTATAGCTCATATAATTAGAAATTTTGGCATTCATTCAATAAATTAAAAACGGTTCAAAATCACTTAAAATGGCTGAAATAGTGGGTTATAGGCTTATAGCTAATGAAGTCGTGAATTTTAGAATCTATAAAATTATTAGCCTACGGGCCTAAGCAACTAAAAGTGGTTAAAATTTGAGGGTTAGAGTTCATGAAATTATGAATTTTAGCCCTTGAGAAACTATTTGCCAATGGGTCGAAATCATTAAAATAAAAAAAAATTGTTAGTTATATAGCTCATGAAATCATGAATATTGGGCTTTAGGAAAATTTTTGCCAACAGGTTGAAATCACTAAAAATGCCCAAATATTGTGGGTTATAGCTCTTCAAGCCATGAAATTGGCTTTTGAAAAATTATTTGTCAATGGGTCAAAACCATAAAAAAGAAAAATAGCTGATAGAATTGTGAATTTTGGCCTCTAGGAAGTTATTTGCCTCTAAGTCGAATGCAATAAAAATGGTAAAAAATCATGGATTATAGCTCATGAAATCATGAATTTTTACCTCTATGAAACTATTTTCCAAGTGGTCTAAACCACTAAAAAGGATGGGTTAAAGCTCATGTAATCGTGAAATCGTGAAGTTTGCCCTCTGAGAAATTATTTGCCTATAGGTCGAAACCACTAAAAACCAAAAAATTAGGGATTGCAGTTCATGAAATCATTAATTTTAGCCTCCTCGAAGTTATTTGCTAATGGGCCAAAACCACAAATGATTGCCATAAGTAGCTGGTTATAGCTCATGACATGGAGAATATTGGCCTCCAAGAAATTATTTGCGTATAGGTTGAAAACGCTAAAAATGGTAAAAAAATCTTAGATTTTTTAGCTCCTGAAAATGTAAATTTTGGTCTCTGTGAAATTATTTAGAAATGGTGGGTGAAAACCATTAAATGGCCGAAAATCATGGGTAATATCTTATGAAGTCGTGAATAATAGTTTCTAGGAAGTTATTTGTCTACTGGTTGAAAACACAAAAAATGGCTGAACTTCGTGAGTTACAACTTATGAAGACGTGGATTTCTACCTCCAAGAAATTATTTCCCTACGAATCAGAGAAACTAAAATGGCAAAATTGTGTAGGGTATAGCCTATGAAATTGAGAATTTTTGCATGTAGGAAATTATTTCCCAACTGGTCGAAACCATTTAAAATCACCAAAAGTCATGGATTACAAATAATGGAATCATGAATATTTACATAATTGAAACTACTTGGTAACTTATCGAGATCACTAAAAATAACCAAAAAACTTGGACTATAGTTCAAGTAATCTTGAAGTTTTCCCTTTGGGAAATTATATGCTGACTGGCCAAAACCATTAAAAATGCCAAAAAGTTAGCGGTTATAGTTCATAAAATCATGAATTTTAGTCTCTGAAGGTTATTTACCAATGTGTCAAAAATATAAACAATGGCCAAAAATCGTAGGTCATAACTGGTGAAATCATGAACTTTAATTTCCAAGAAATAATTTTCCAACATGTTGAGATCACTAAAATGGCCAAAAAATCATGGATTATAGTTCATGTAATCATGAATTTTGGCTCTTTGGAAACTATTTGCCTCCATGTTGTAACCACTTAAAAATGGTCAAAAATCATGGGTTATATAGCTCATGAAATTGTTAGTTTTAACTTTTACAAAATTAATTAGAAATGGATCAAATCACTTAAAATGGCCAAAATCGTAGGTTATAGCAAATGAAGTCATAAAATTTAGATTCTAGGAAATTATTTGCCTACAGGCTAAAGAAACTTAAAATGCTCAAAAATCGTGGGTCATAGCTCATGAAATCGTAAATTTTGGCATTCGAGAAATTATTTGCTGTAGACGGTAAAAAATACCTCTATGGGTCTACAGGGAATTTGTCTACGAGAAGAGTTCGCACGCCCAGTTCTCTGACACGGACCTAAACCGCGTAGACGTCGACTGTGCTCAAATCCAGGTTCGCCTAACGGTCGACTCGCCAGCATGAGTCAGGAGCGATCAGGATGGCGGAAATTTGCTCTTCGCTCAACTCGCCTGCCCGAGTTCGGAGTCGAATCCGCCAGCAAGCCCCAAAACCGTCAGTACAGCTGGGTATCCACTACCCCACGTGCTGAGGTGGGCCTTCCCACCTCTCTCGACCCAAAGGGAGAGAGAGCACAGTACCCCAGGGCCGTCAAAACGGCCGCCCACAGTGCGCACAGCGCGAAGGAGCTGGACAGGTGTCGAGTCAACCTGAGCATTCATAAATGCGACTCACCTCGGCTGTCTGAGTCTGGAGCTGGGTCCGCCGGCACTCGGCAAGCTGGCTAGACTCACTCGAGTACTGTACACCTACTTCACCGCCTCTCCTGACCGGAAAGGAGAAAGCGTCGTGCTCAAAGCACGCCGGGCGGTCACGCACAGTACTGGTGATCGGACAGACGCCTCATCGATCTGCGGACTCATAAATGCGGTTCATTAATGCTGGTCAAATCCACTCGGATAGTAGTCGTTTGTTGCCTCACATACAAGAATGGGCCTTCCCATCGTAGGTGACAGGACATAAAGCACAATCCCTGGAATGACCGATCATGGTTTCGAGGAACAGCTAGACGTCTCTGAAGAAGATGTGGTCACATCCCACAATTCAAGGAGGAGTCAAGTTGTCCTTCTCCCATTTAAAAGCCTCTTCCGGCACACTGGAGAGGAGGTCGCAAAACTTAGGAAAAAGAGTTGAGACCAAGCTCTCTGCACAACTTTCTTTGCATTGCAGCACTACTGCTTAGTTCCGAGCTCCGATCGCCGGCGAACTAAACAGACCCGAACTCTCTCAAGTTGAGCTTCTACTGCGAACTGAAGCTCTCCAGCAACCTCATTCGAACGGTCCAAGGGAAGCAGACTCGACACGAGCATCGAGCGAAGCATCCTGTAGCCACCTAAAAGTCCCCACACAAAACAAAGAGGGCCTTCCCTCTGCTTCTGTTGTAACTATTTGATCATTAGTTTGTAATAAGCTTTCTTATAAATACAAACGAAACTCCCTTTTTTCGGGAAATCAAATATTCACCCTACAGAAGATGGCGACCACAGTGGGAGAAGCTGTTTCATCGAGTGAAATGGTGGTGGCTCAGTTTGATGAGGTTGCTGTAGGGACGACAGTGGAGTCCCTAGAAATTGAGTTCGACCAGGCCAAGTACGAAGAGTACTTGTCCTCCTCCTCCTCTGGTGGCGATGCGTCCCGCAAACGTCACAGAGTCGTGCGTCGAGGCCGACCTCAGACGGTCAAAGCCTCTGCACCTACGGGTTCTACCCGAGTCTCATCGGAAGAACCCGTTCCCTCACAATCGATCAACGCCAAGCCGGGGGTCGAGCGCAAAGGGCAAGGGTCTGCCAAATGGGTCGCCAAGCGATCCCCGCAGACACCTACCCCGAAGGGAACGCCGGTTCACTCCGGCACAAACCACGCTGCCACAGCTCGCGGTGACGTTCTCCCCGTTGGGAGAACTAACCAACAGCGGCGGCAGGAACTCGTCAGACAGGAGGTCCAAACCTCCGTTCCTCATAACGGCCTGAGCCATCATACGGGCCCGAGGAACGCTAGGCGAGAAGGCAAACTGCCCGACATTGGGAGGCCCTCCAAGTCAGGAGCGCCAACTGAGGAAGGCAGAGCCGCCCGCTCGGGAAGACTTCGCTTCTCAGGTCATATCCCTGATGCGAATAACTCACTCCCAAGGAGTGAGCCTACCCGAGTAGGCGAATCCTCGAAGGCTGGCGAGCCTCGTCATAACCATTTGACGGATAAACGTAAAGGTAGAGAAGTAGGCGAGTCCTCGCGAACCCGTTCTTCCAGGCGAAGGGGTGAAACCCGCCCACGTACTGGAGCTCGCTCAAACGCGAAGACTCGCCAGTCAAGGCGAGATCGCTCGACTCCAGCACCAAAGCATTCCATCCAACGCGCACCAGAGGGCGCACCCAAAAACCTCTCGTCGACTCACCAGAGCGACTCTTCTGAGGCCGGGGGTTGTCACCAACCGCCCGTAGAAGACCTCAGAGAATATTTAACTCGCAAACGCACTATCCATGAGGCGAATCCTCAGTGCCACTGCGAGAGACTCATCCACACGGTCCTCGCCGACTGTCAATGCGTCGGAACGGCGAGACCTTCGGTGTTTGGGAGACTGTCCCAACAGTCCTCTCGACCAAGGCCCTCCCGTCAAAGGCGCCGTCACCAAAAAAGACGCGCTGCCGATGACTTGGAACTCTCATCCGCCACGGTTAAC